CACCTTGTCTGGTACCCGCATTAGGGCCCGGACTAATCCACATTCGCACCGAGTAAGGCCTATTAAAGGGGAAACACTCCCTACAGGATGTCTTGTATCTCAAAACTCTGTCAGTGGTTTAGATGTTAGAAAGCATGCTGCTCTTGTAATTATAAATGGGATAGCCTGCTCATTGTTCTGAAGTACTGCCCCATCGAGTTGTTTCACTTGAAAAGTCAAGACACAAGTTTCCAAGATATTCAATAGGAAAAATGATGTTTCAGAGAACAGACTGCTGTTATGAGGTGACTTGTGAATTGACTGATGGCTAGAACTTGGCTTTAGCGTACCACTGTAAAGCATCAGCCAAGTAGTAAGTCCTGAACATTTCTATTCTCATGGTGGATATACTTTCAGTGGTGGTCTGTGCAACGATCTACTAAAGGTATGCGTATAAACACATTATCTATTTCTTATGATTGGTCTAAGTATAGGTATGGTGCCAAGAATGCCGGCGTTGAGTTAGTAACGAGAATATGGCATTGACCTTTATCAAGGCCAACTGCTGGGATATTTTGAAGCTTCAGTAAACCTCCTTGATGAAGTTTCAATTGATAATTTCGTTTCCTAAAGCAGAACGGGAGATTCTTGCACCAGTTAGACCAGACAGATTCAGAGAGTTTCTGAAATCAGGTCCTGGTATGCACTTGATGGACAAATGCTTGGCCTAAGTAACTCTTCGAGAGTTATGTCATTCACCTATTACGAGTTTCCACCAGAGTTACAGATACTCGAAATATCTCCCTCCTATCTACGCAGGGGCTTACATGCAAGGTTTTCCTATCATGCAGTGTTTTCTTAGTCTTGACTTATAACATAGTCAGTGTTCTCATTCTCCTCTTTGAATTGCCTTAGTGAGTACCAACCATATGTACTGAGGATGCACTTCATAACAAGTATGTAAATGCTCAACTAGTTCATACACCAACAGTAACTAATTTGCAAGCACACAAGAGCAGCTTAAGACCTGCTATGGTAGAAGCAAAGAAAACACTAAGAAGCTGCTGCAAGAGGAAAAAGAGGCAAGCTGATTCAGGAGCGGCTGCAAGCCATATGACAAGATCAGACCAGTGATTGATTCACTGAGAAAGCAGATATATGCTACTTGGGCTTCTTTGGCAACTGTAAAGTCAACTCATGAATTCGCAGAGTAAATAGCTCTAGACATGGTTGTTGCCCCACGGTTGTATAGAATCTAAGGAATAAGAGGGATATATATATGGCATAACCACTCTCTTGGTTGGAGGCTGTGTGCCTGCCTTTCCATCAAACACAGTTGAGGAAGTCTTCACAAACTTCCATTAGTGCATAGCGGTCCCTCTATCGGTCCCGTGCATAGCGGGAGCTCAGTACATCGTGTTTTTCTTTTTAAGAGATGTTTTTATTCTAATGAAGCAATATCTTACTGAAATTTAAGTTGGATTTTCCATTAGTGCATTTTACTATTATAAGTAGTTTCAAAGTTGCAATTTGTGTACAATTAATTCAAACACCGAAGAACTTCCATGTTATGACAAGTTGTAAAATCTTAAAAAGAAATATCTAAAATTGCTCTTGTTCATGTGTTTCAGCGTTAAGTTATTTTAAGAGAAGAGTTTTCTGAAATTACAATCACAGAGCATAAAACATGTGCTTATCACCACTTAGTTTTTGTAAATCTTGAACAATTATATGATGATCAACAAACAATTGCATAATCCTATCTAACGAACTTACAATCCAAGTCTCACCATACCGAACACCTAAAATATACAACAATATTAACACAAGCACCTCAGACTGCAGCTTATGTATATCTAAGCTTTCTACAGTCACAAGGTGCTTTGACAAGAATATCACTACAGCACAGAGAAGACCTTTATATTGTGCACCCTTGACTTCTACATCTTAGAGAGAACTTGACTTATTGTATATATAAGATCTTGAAAAATACAAGTATGCAGTGAATGCCATAGTACTAAGTACAGCAAGAACCCAATAGAAGTAATCCAGATGTGCCCGATTCAAGTTGTCCGAAAACCAACTGCTCTGACCATCTTTACCAGTGATGTTCTCAATAACAGAGATGAGGAAACTGCTTAAGAAGCTCCCTATGCCAAATATGCTGAGGTAGAGAGAAAGGCCTATACTTTTCAACTCGACTGGCACCTGATCGTAGAAGAACTCCTGCAGACCAACCATGGTAAATACATCGGAAATACCAAATAGTAGGTACTGAGGTATTAACCAACAAATGCTCATGGGAATTGTTGCCTTTGGCATGTCAACCAGCCCGTATTGTATAGCAGTTTCGAGACGTTTCTTCTCGACTATAGCTGCAATCACCATGGAAAGTATAGACAAGAAAATCCCAGTTCCAATTCTTTGGAGTACAGTGATACCTGACGGTTTCCTAGTTATAGCTCTTGCAACGGGAACCAAAATACGGTCATATATAGGAATAAAAACAACAACAGAGAGGCTGATGAAAGATTGTAATGAGGCAGCTGGTACTTCAAAATTTGAACCAAGAGATCTGTCCAAAGTTGCACCTTGTTTGGTGAATAAAGTGGATGACTGTGAAAACACAATAGCATATACCAAACACGTTATCCATATTGGAATCAACCTAAGAATAGCCTTAGCCTCTTCAACCTCGCTGATACTACAAATTTTCCCATTTTCCTTGGAACCATCGGGGGCAAGCAACGCTTTGTTGAGGAACCTGTGTTCAGTACAAATTTATACCAATAAAATGAGATGTCTTTTAATACAGTTGATAGAAAAACTACTTTTTTATGCATAAATATTTCATTGATTGGCTAATACTATCCTACAATAAATTGGAGTGTCCACACATGCAATGGGCTTTTAACATTCAATAGCAAGCTTAAGACTATGCAGTCTTTAACTCTTTAAAGCAAGTCCCTAGATCCTTTGAACTCTTAACAAATCAAACCCGAGAAGAGCAGCCATTCCGCAATTATTTCTACCATCCTAATATATTGCAGAACTGTATGTATTTTTCCTATAAATTATCCGAAGATCAGCAGATGACTGAAAAATCAACAACTTTTATTCATCCAATTATAAAAGAAATTGCAAAACTACACTCACTTGAATTGTTCAGAACCTTCATGAGGAAGAATACCCTGAACTTCTTGTTCCACTGATATAGCTGAAGCGGTTGTTTGCCAATTCCTAACTGCATTAATAAACACATTACCAATTCTAAGAAATGGGTTCTTTTCATCACTGCTCTGGCGAAACCGATAAGTGAAGCTTCCAAGCAAGAACACAATAAGAGCAAGACCCATGACAATACAGGGAATTCCAAATCCCAGACCCCAGCTAAGGTTGTCTTGAATGTAGTTCAATATCCAGAGGGTCATCAACAGACCACCACACATTCCAAAATACCACCAATTGAAGAATGAGCTTTTAGCTTTACTTTCTTCTGGGTCTTGAGCATCAAATTGGTCCGCTCCAAAAGCTTGTACACAAGGCTTGTGCCCTCCCTGTCCAAAAGCTACTAGATACAAAGCAAAGAAGAAGAAAATAATTTGGAGCTTGGGAGGAGAACATGTTGCAGTATCTTGGCAGTCAGAATAATTGAGAGGGAGGACAGTTGAAAGCGTCAAGAAGCCAAGTCCCTGTACATCAACAAATGAAAACCGTCTTACTTGCTAATTCTTTCTTTGCTAAAGCAGAAAGAAGGCAGTAGTTTCAGTCAACTATGAGAGGCATACTTGTTCATATTGTACCATAAGTAACCCAAAAAAGAAGAAGAGTACAATTGTGCCAAAACAAAAGCCTGAACTGGGTACTAACCAGGATGTAGAGTAGAGAGGAGATGATAATGGTCCGATACCGACCCAGGTATGAATCAGCGATAAATGCGCCCAAAAGCGGAAGAAGCGATGCTGTTCCGCTCCAAGCATTTACATTCACCGCTGCTGTTGCAACCGATTGGCCTAGTGGGCCCGTTAGGTAGCTTATTAGGTTCGAACTTATCCCATAATATGCAAATCTCTCTGCAACCTCCACGCCTAAAACCAGAAGAAAATAATCAAGTTTCAAACCAAGCTGCTAAAACTGTGATAGATTTTGAAAGTTGGTGAATTTGAAATAAGATCAACTTTTAAGACAATCCAGCTGCCAAAATTAGAGAAAGATTTGAAAATCAGCCACAATTGGTGAAAAATCATTTTTAAGACAGCCCGATGGCAAAAATTGGAGATGAAATTTGATATCAGCGACAATACGACTACAACAATAACAACAACTCAATCCCCAATTAGTTGAGGGCAATTATATGCATTCTTAATATCAATCTCACTCCATTTCAACATGTTTCATTTTCATTTGGTGGGGAAACAATTTTTATGATAACTCAACAGGTAAAATAGCTGGTTGAAAATTGGTGACAATTGGTCCGGAAGAGATCAAATTCTAATACCACCCAAATTGGAAAT